CCTACAATAACTATACCTTATTTCAGACCTATCAGTCTTTTGCCAACAATGTCAAAAATTTTGGAACAAGTGTTAGCTAAGCAAATTCGTCGCCATTGTGATATTAATAACGTATTACCCAATCGCCAGTCTGGGTTTAGGCCGGGTTATAGTTCTTCTACAGCCCTGATGGAGGTCACTGACAATATATTCGCAGCTCAGAGTCGCGGACTAGCTACAATACTGTTGGTTTTGAATTTTTCAAAGGCGTTCGATACAATAAATCATAAATTACTAATTATGTATGTATGTAGTTTCATGTGAGATTAGTTATACCACCTGTGGTTGGTACTTGGGCCCCAACGGTCCCTTTGTACATCCTCACGGTTTACTTCGGCCATGTGTAGGTCTATTTGGAGGAGTGAAAGATGTTCGAAAATGGCATCCGATCAGGCTGATACCGCTTCTCGCCTCGCCTTCAGCCGGGCTGGTACTCCAACGCCCAGCAATTTGAAGACGACCCCCAAGCCGGGCTGGTACTCCCACGCCCAGAAACTTGGGTGCATGGCTGAGTACCGCTCAAAGAGCGCAGACGCGCTTTCAACCCGTTTTTACGTTCACAACCTCCAACTACACATGTATCTGACGACAACCAGAGATGTTAGACTGGTTGCCGGGACCGACGGCTTAACGTCCCCTCCGAAGGACGGGGAGGCGACTCGGCGTGTATTCACTGGGAATGGAACAAATTACTAATTAATAAACTTCATTACTTTGGATTTTCAAATTCTGCTATTCAGTTGGTTGCTTCTTATTTACATGGTCGATCGCAGCGTGTACGCTTTGATGGTTCTCTGTCAACGATATTGAAAATATCGCAGGGTGTACCACATGGCTCGGTCTTGGGTCCCCTCTTATTTGCTCTGGATACTGCTGATATTCATACTGTTTTAAAACATTGTAAAATACACTTATACGCGGATGACACGCAATTGTACTTGCATTTTCGCCTATTGGATGTGAAAAAGGCGTGCGAGCAACTTAATGAGGACACACGGGCTTTGTCTAACCTATGTATAGAGCATAATTTGAATCTTAACCCTCAAAAGTCGTTGCTGGGACTGTTTTGCTCAAAAATGGGTAGAAATTCCTTAAAAAGCAAAATATATAATGCAGTATTAGTGGGGGGCGTGGCTCTCTTCCTGTAACTGATACTATAAAAAAACTTGGGTGTGCTAATTGATTATAGGTTGAGATTTGAGCAACATGTACGTAACTGTTTGCGGGGGGTGTATACTGCGTTGCGATTGATTTNCCCTTGCTGACTAAACGTTTCACCAAACCGACAAGTCCATGGTTGACAGATAATGTAAAATCAATGATGGCTATAAGAGATGATGCCTTTCATAAATTTAAAAGAATTAAAAGACAACTGATTGGACATCATACAAAATATTACGAAATGTAACTATAAATGCCGTAAGGACTGAAAAGAAGGTGTATTATGCAAATGCTTTCTCACGGGATGACTCAAGAACACTTTGGCGCTTAAAAATTGACAATAAGCACAGTAGTGACCCTGTGTCCATTAGCGTAACTGCAGCTGACTTCAATGATTATTTTGTTGGCGGTGTGACTGTGACCAATCAGTGTGACGCTGAGCTGCTGAATTTTTATGGTACTTCTATTTTTAGAAGCGATTGTTCGGAAATGATCTTTTCATATGTGAGTGAAGAAAGTATTTTAGAAATAATTAACTCCATAAAAACTACTGCGGTTGGTTGTGATCATATTAATATCGGTATTATTAAATTTTGTTTAACATTTTTATTACCATAATGTTCTACCATATATTCTTCTATACGTCAGTTGGTTTTTCCTGGGATTTGGAAGCAATCCACTGTGATACCTTTACCAAAGAAATCACCTCCAATGACTATATCTTATTTCAGGCCTATCAGTCTTTTGCCAACAATGTCAAAAATTTTGGAACAAGTGTTAGCTAAGCAAATTCGTCGTCATTGTGATATTAATAACGTATTACCCAATCACCAGTCTGGGTTTAGGCAGGATTATAGTTCTTCTACAGCCCTGTTGGAGGTCACTGACAATATAATCGCAGCTCAGAGTCGCGGACTAGCTACAATGCTGTTGGCTTTGGATTTTTCAAAGGCGTTCGATACAATAAATCATAAATTACTAATTAATAAACTTCATTACTTTGGATTTTCAAATTCTGCTATTCAGTTGGTTGCTTCTTATTTACATGGTCGATCGCAGGGTGCACCACAAGGCTCGGTCTTGGGTCCCCTCTTATTTGCTCTGTATACTGCTGATATTCATACTGTTTTAAAACATTGTAGAATACACTTATAGGCGGATGACACGCAATTTTACTTGCATTTTCCCCTATTGAATGTGAAAAAGGCGTGCGAGCAACTTAATGAGGACACACGGACTTTGTCTAACCTATGTATAGAGCATAATTTGAATCTTAACCCTCAAAAGTCGTTGCTGGAATTGTTTTGCTCAAAAATGTGTAGAAATTCCTTAAAAAGCAAAATATACAATGCAGTATTAGTGGGGGCGTGGCTCTTCCTGTAACTGATACTATAAAAAACTTGGGTGTGCTAATTGATTATAGGTTGAGATTTGAGCAACATGTACGTAACTGTTTGCGGGGGTGTATACTGCGTTGCGATTGATTTATGGGAATAGGCATGTGCTGAATAAACAATTAAGAACACGTCTTTGTGATACCTTAGTCCTGAGTCGCATGAATTACTGCGACGTGGTGTATGCTGCTACTCTTATAAGGGTGACTGCCTGCCGGATACAGAAACTTCAAAATTGTTGTTTAAGGATGATAAATAGCAAAAGGAAATATGATCATGTATCACATACGTTGATGGACAGCGGTTGGTTAAATATGCAACAGAGACGTGAGTTCCACTGTGCTTCGTTGTACTTCAAAGTAATTAACTATAATTATCCGCCATATCTGGCTGAGAAACTATCATATAAAACAGATGTTCACAATGTGAATATTCGACGGAAAAACGTTTTAACATTTCCGAGACATGCTTCCCGAAGGTCTTTCTCCTATTTGATTGCTAAGACTTGTAATAGTACACCCATTATCACTAGTACTAGATCTTTCAATTTATTTAAAATTTTTTTTAAACGTCAACTTTTCACTGATTTGTGCTAATGTGCTTCCGCTTTGCTCTGCCTTTGTTCTTGTTATTGTTATGATTATTGCTGCTTTTCTCTTTTTTTTGGTTTATTAGTGATTTGGTATTTGTATTCGAAATAGGGATTAAGTGGAAGAGCAGACGTTCGTAAGAACAGTCTGAACTTCGTCCCTTGAAAACCAACATTAAATTTTTATTTTCTATTATGTTGTATTGTTAAGTTGTACCTTGTTGGTTTTGAATAAAGGCATATTATTATTATTATTATTAATTTTTAAGTTAATTTAAGTTTTTCGGTTGCAGTCGTGCCTGAGGACGATTTTATAATCAAAATACATCTCGTTGTATAGCATCGATTTCACATAATAATATAATTTTCCTCTGAACTACCTGCACTTTTATTTGATCTAATATTGATTGAGATGACCATGGAGAGAACACTTGCTTTCAGATGAGAAGGTGAACTGCGACATTGCCTCGACTAATTTGTCTTTCAGTATGGCATATGCACCTTCTTGTACATATGGGTGGAGTCATATGGTATGATCGATATTTTTTTTGTCTGCGAGGAGGAAAGGAGTTTTTCCTCTTCTTCTGATCCTTTTAAGAGTTCTTCGAAGAGGTCTGCCTATATGTTAAGTATTTCTTTTTTATTAGTAACCATATTTCCTGTTCGTATCTACATTCCGTTATTTTTGGTTTAAATGTATGTTTTGTTCTCTTTAGTTTGTGGTAGAATTTCACTGTCATGCTCGTTGTATACCTCAATTATTTCCAGTTGTTATTCCTCCTTCTTTCATATGTGTACTCTCTTTTCGTTCCCATGAGCTCCTTGCTGACACTCTGCATCGAACCAATCGTTTCCCATCTTGTATTCCGTAACGCAATACATAAACCATCCACAAAACCTGATTGGAATCTCTTTGTCTCTATCACGGAGAACTTCAACTTTTTGGATGGAATTAAATAGTTCCTCTTTAACAAACTGTTGATTGTCTCCGTTTGGAATAATGTTTGTTACGATGCAAATCGAAGGCTTGTGTTTGAGACCATCTCCACAAATTCTTGTAGACGAGTTCATGTCATCCTTTATTTTCTTGGCGATTTAAATTACTTATCGCTACTTAATTTTCTCGTTCTCATGTCAAGTTTTGTTTCGTGCGTTTCGTTCTTTTTAAAGTGTTTTAAAATATTTTATCTATACAATTTTATTTATACACTGTGTTTTTAACTTTAATTGTTCACAATAACATACATCATTATTGATTGATATATTTCAATATGTATTCTTTTCATAATTTTTGTTTTAATGACGTCGTAGGTTTCTTTTTAACTATTTGACAGTAAGTTTATGATTGGAATACTTTTATTATGTTTTTCATTATATTTAAATGATCATAATGTAATTGCTTTTACGTAGATTCGGTTGATGATGGGCTAAGCTCGAAACCGGTTCAGAATAAATTGATATTAAGCAAGTAAGAAGTTTTTTTATATAGTTTAAATTTCTAATTTTCCCGTCTTATAGTTTTTGGTTCCGTGTTATGGTTACCTGTATATACCTCAAAATCAATACCGAGAAAATCTAAATATTTTATTCAAACTAAAAACAACAAATTGTAATCTCAAATTTAAAAATTCATCCCGACCATATTTATGGAAATGTTATTGGACTATAAACTCGCGCATGTTCAACATTAATTACTCATCTATGAATTATTCATAATTCACATCCATACATTAGTCACCAAATTTGATCTTTAATTATTGATTATTTCGAGAACAACTTTAACTATTTGAGCATTATATTGTATTAAAATTTCTTACCTGGGTCATCAACAACGACATCACATAAATCTTCTAAATACGCATAGTTATTGCAATCGTTAACGTCTTCTGGTAGCTGAGATCTAAAACGAAATAATTTTTATCGTGTTAATACATTTAGTCAATTTAAACTTCATTTCTTAAATTATTTAAAATCCTTGTAAATTGAACCTTCTTGAACCCAATCCAACCCCCTGAAAGTTGATCGGGGGCGACATTTGGGGCAATTACAGAGAGATAACCGATGACGACGTCGTCGTCGTCGTTCGCTTCGAGGCATTAATACAGCCGTTCGAAGGTGGGGAACCAAAATCGATAAATATCGGGCATTTTTAAGATCCTCCGGGTCGCGTTTCTGTCGTAATTATCACCATATCTGAACACTGTTAGATTCCAATCTGATTTTTTAAGACATAAAAATAACAACCTCTTCAAATCATTTAGAAATACGTTATTTCATTCTTTTTAAGCTTATTTTGTTTTTCTTCCCTCATCGTTGTTTACGGTTTGAATCGATTTATTATTCAGCAGTTTTATCCTTGGGGCGACTACGATCCGGATATTGGTTTCTTGTATATGCGATTTCAAATATTTACGGCGAAACGTTAAAAGGAAGAATACATTAAGATGAAATTTGTAAGTGTCTTTTTTGATGGTCTTTTTGTAAGTTTATGTAAAATCGCGAATCCGCGTTATAATCGGATTTAGTTTTTGGAAATTTCCAAATTTTTTTTAGAAAGATCCCACCTTATGACTATATTTTGGAACGACGTGTAAATGTTTCCCTTGTAAATCCCAAAGCATATTCCCAACCCTCGAGGGGTGAATTTTATTTACCATGTGTGTTTTCCGATTTGAGGGATGAAGTAAATCTGTCAGGGCTCATTCAGGCGCGATCTTTATTTTTCGTTACATTTCAATCAAAATATTTAACTTGAGTATCATAAAATTTGAATTGACTTAATACAATTTATGATTTACCATCAACAGTTCGTCAAGGAAGCTAATTTTCATCGACCTCATTTTACGTCTCAATTTCGAAAACTTTTTAATTAAGCCCCTCTGGGAATAAGCGGGAACCAACCCCGATTGTAATTTCTCTTTTCACGACTCGAATCGATCCGCCACGACCGAAAACGAACGCTAATTAAGATTCATTAAGATTTAGGGTGTACAAATTATTTGTATTTGAAACTTGCTGCTTGAAATACTTACAGACAGGTTAAAATGGCCGGTGTTGGCTCGATTTCACGCTCCAGTAAAGATGTCACCGCCTGTTGAAGGTAATCATTCTGGAAAAAACGAAATAAAATAATTCAAACATTAACAGAAAACTTTTAAAAAATATCTAAGTCATTAATACACTTCGATTCGACTACTTTCTCATATGTTTATTGATGTCCCATTAAATACTATAAAAAACATCAATGGATTTCAAAGACATATCTATCTCGGTTATGATAAAACACTTTCAAGTTAATAAACATGACATGTAAAATCTAAACGGTTGCTCTTCTTGTCGATAATGTTTAAGCTCCTCTTATTAATAATGTTCAAGTTTGTTGTTATCGTTAATATTCCAACGACCCAACAGCCAGTGAATGTTCCGTAGGATTCGTGACATCTTCCTTAAATTCATTTACCACCGCTCGATGGTCATTATGCTAACTGGTCTCAGAAGCGAGACCTTTGCTTTCTTATTACTTTAATAAAACGTTTGAAATTTATTAATTTAGAAAATGATTTCATGGTTTAAACAAATCGCGGCTTTAATAATTAGAATCATGGATTTATGTAGCAAGAATACACTTTTTGCACTTTTTTAACATCTGTTTTATAAATCTCTTTGATAAAACTTTAAGACCTTGATATACAAATAATTATAATGTACTAAGATACTAACAATACATTTTTTTTGCATGTTGCGAGTAATGGTCATAAGATTTTGCAGGTCAGAATGTTTGCAGTACGCGCTAAAACGTTTAATAAGCCTCAAGTGTCTAAATATTTGAGATGGAATTTACAATATTCATTGTTCAAAAGCCTTCAAAAATCATGGCTTCATCTGGTTGAAAACAAGTTGGGTTTTTGACTAGTGCTGAACGTGGTCAACATGTACCTGTTATAAGTTGTAGGAGTACAGAAAGAAATGTTGTCTCCCCTACAATGATTTTTGCTAGAAAAATAGAAAGGTTGACCTGTTTAATAAAGCATCTATCGAATCCCTGGGTATGTATCAAGAGTTTGGTTGGATGACCTCACATTTACATCTACAGTGGCTTAAGCATTTTTGTAAGCATGCACATTCATCATCTTCAGAGAAAAAGGTTCTTCTATTGTTGGATGGCCATGTTTGCTACAGGTCTTACAAGCTGTCATTTTGTCTAGAAAATAACATCATCCTTGTGTTTTCTGCATATTGCAACATCTTGATGTCAACTTTTCTGGATTTGGTTAAATATAATCCTGAACTGTTTGCTGTGTTATTACTGTTTACCAAGTTAGTGAGCTTTTTCTAAGGCCTATGGAAAGGCTGCAACTATAGAAAATGCATTAAGCGGATTTTCAAACACAGGAATTAGTCCACTTGATCCTGAAATTTTTCCTGGCCATCTTTTTGTGGCTGCATATACCACTAATATTGAACTTGAAAATACGCACCCTGAAAAAGAGTACGCCTGAAGAGGAGAATTTATCTGAAAATAGTTGCTTAGCAGACAAGAATCAACTAGAAGTCACACAAAATAAAAATGATACTACAACAAATAACAAATAATAATAAAAGACTATCAAATTATCATTTCTGGAAATATCTGCTCTTCCAAAAATATCAAACCCAGTGAAACGTTGAAAGCAAATAAGTAAACACACAGTTTTGACATCCAAACCTAGAGGAATTGAAGGACAGAGGAAAAAAGACACGGAAAGTTAACCAAGAAGGTATGAAACAGAAGATTTTTTCAATTTTAGCAGAATTACTTTATGTAAAAGACAACACTGAAACTATGAAATCTGAAGATGATAATGATAACGACAACATGACGATACATACAATAATTCAAAATCAAAGGAATGATGCACATTTAGAATCCTCTGCCTTAAATCCAAAATCACAACTATTCGTTTGTGATTTATGCACATAAATTTGATTAGTCTAATTTAAATATCTTTTAGTGTACCATTTTGTACGCACCCAGGTAGTTAAATGATATAGTTAATGAAATAAGGTTTTGTTTTTTTATGATGGCGTTTGTAGCAAAAATTTGTGGCATATCTTGAAGTTGGATAGAAACCGTTTTGAAACAAAGAATCGTTAAATTGTCAACGAGCAATGCTCCCCTTACAAGAGTTGTTACCAGAAGATGTCGTCCATTATGTATACTGTCACCACTTTTGTGGAACCTCACTATAGCTAGCCAAATTTAACTTTATAAGAAACCAACATCTTCATTATTGGCTTCACCGACAATTTTGCTATCATTCTCTAAATTGTGTGGAACAGTGTATTTTAAGTCCTAACATGCAGATTTAAGTTAATTTTGTTCGCTAGATATTCGCCGAGCTTGTCAAAATAATTTAAATATAGGAAATTATTCAAAACAGCAGATTATACAGGAAATCACACCTAGATATAAAGTGAAAAAACTTAGTGCCTCTATCGGCCAGTGCCAGAGATTTGGAATTTATTGATTTTACATGGCTATAATCAGACATGATCAAGTATATCTCCTGTAGTGTGGTGCTCTGAAACTTCATACATTATCGACATTATCGCATTAAACAGAATCCAGACTCTCACGTGTCTTCGTGAATCTCCGCCATAGGAAACATGGTCATTATACTAACTTTCAAAATATTATACTAGTTACCATGTTATGACTACGTAAAGTAGAGATTGCTGATAATAGTGGAGAATTCTGTAGGACGGCCATGCAGAATTTTCCTACAAAAGCACAATTTATTATTATAAGAAAATACCTCAACCATCTTGGTGTTATAGATGCAAACAACACCGCTAAAACATACTGATGGTTTAAATAGATGGACTGTCAAACGAGTCTTCTCTTATGAATCACGAATCGGTAGTAATTAGTAGTTATGTTGCTGATTATATTGTTAGCTTATTGCTTAACGTTTAAAGATGGTGCAACTCATAGCTGTGTTACACACCAATAGACAGAAGAAAGTATAATTTGTTTGAGAAATCAGCACGTAGTGGGATTGCTAAAAGCACTGTCGAAAGAAATCTCCGCTAGTGTTAGCCACCAATTGCACTGTCAACTGACAACTCTTACTGAGGTTATTAAATATATCTTTTTTCTTTAATAACGTTAATGTGCTGGCAAAACCATATAATTATTGACTAGAATGTATGCATTGATATCTTCTAGGTTTGTTATTACGCACGAAGAGTTGTTCTGTCGTTGAGGTGAAGTCTTCTTCAAGCTTTTCAATAAACCTTTTAATTTTCCCCTTAACAATTGGAATCCAAACTTTTCTATGTCTATCAGAATTTCACACATACCATAACCATATTTTGTAGAATTTTATTGTGGAATGTTTGAATAAACTTGCTGTTTGAGTCACTGGCATAACTTCAGACCTGAATACCGTAGTGCCACATTGGACTCAAACAAATGGAATGGCTTGTAATCAATAGTTTGTTGGAAATTGAATATTTAGTCTGTTATTTGCATTATCGGCATAGTATACAATTAAACTTCCTACCCAACAATTAATGCATTACCATCAGCAGTCAATAAACAAGACAATTGGCACAAATGATCTTTACATGGGGAACCCAACTCTCCGATTTAACGGAGATTGATTTCCGATATATACATATTTACAGAAATGTCTGGTTTATGCAAAGTTGCGAGTCGTAACCAATCAATAATTAATGGGACGATTGCCTTATGTTACTCCCTCTAAACCGTTCCTTGACACTGCGGTGGTAAAACATATAAATCTTATCTAATTTTATTCGTTTGTATAGCTACGTTAGCTTTATATCTTGCTACCGATATCCGGGTTTCTTGCGACATAAAAGCGATTTTCCGGACACACAGAGATAAATCAATATAGTGATTGTGGGACAAATTTGGTTGGCGACGATCGTAAACTATCGACGGAATAATAATAGAGTATGGTGGTGAAGGACATTTTTTAACGGAAGAAACTCGATTCTTGCATTCAGATAATTTTAATATTAAATTCTACTGTTTTATATTGTTTTTTTAGTGGAAAAAGAAATCTGCAAATCTTGAAATATACAATATTTTTATTAAAATTTAATTTGACGGCGAAATATATCCATAAAACAAAGTTATAAAAATTCAAACATAAAATTTCAATTAAATTGCTTACCCAGAAGTGATACTTCTACTACCTACCGCTTTAAGTAAATTGAGATAAATTAATTAAATGTTATAGAAGCGTTTATAATCGTGAAAAACATTCAGATATAAAATATTAATAAAGGTGCGTAACCGGAAATGGTGCTTAACCCGGATGATTCACTCATATTTTTACATTACCGTTCTTTTTAAATTTATTACTCTATCATCTATCGACGGATATTTTTAAGTGCTGCAGTTTATCAGTGTCATAAAAATGCGAGAAATTACGTACATTTTATGAGTTTTCCTTATCTAAGTTTTGGTAAAAATTATTACGGTTCATCCAAATATAAAAAGTTTATTTGTATTTTCTGAAAAGTCTGTGTATTCCGACCTTTACGAATAAAAGAATGTGTTGACAGATTTTATGAATATCAATGAACATCCAGACCAAAGTTTTAAGTTCTTTGTTTAAGTTTAGTTCACAGTTTTAAATTGAACCATATTATTTCTGACTAACTATGATGACACACATCGCCGCGAGATTATTTATTGTCAGTTATTGCTTTAGTTGATGCTAAAGCTTTTTATATAGTGAATATGGAGGTCTACGTTGGAAAACAACCCTCTGGACACTTTTATGTCGAGAACAGCGGAAAAGCAGTTGTTGAGCGTCTTACACAACCAATAGTAAACAGTGAGAGAAACATCACCATAGATAACTGGTACACTAGTATACCATTATACGAAAGCCTGCTGAAAAAAAGTTAACTGTAGTGGGCACCATAAAAAAGAACAAGCGAACTACCACATGAGTTTATAATTGGAATTAGTCCAGCAGATACAAGTATATTTGGATTTACAGAAAATTGTACATTAGTGTCGTATGTTCCAAAAACAGGAAAAAATGTCCTGCTCGTATCCACTATGCATGACGATGATAGCATAGTGGA